TTATCACACGCTTATAGGTGAAGTTGTTGTTTTTTTTTACAATTTATAAATAACAAATAATAAAAAGGCCTGTTATACTAACAGAATATGGCTTTAATAGATTATCTACAAATTTTATCCTGGGGCTGATTTTTGACCAATATCTCCGAGTTGAATTCTCGCTGCGAAAAGTTACTCATTTTGTCAGCAGTTCGTCTCACATTAATTGTCTTTTTTCGAAGGTCCTTCGGAAGTAAGAAAATTAAAATGTCACCTACATTCAGTAGGTGACTGGGAAAAAAAGAAGAACATTAGAATGTCACTTGTGTTCGGTGGGTGATCTGGGAAAAAAACCCCAACTAGCTGTCACTTTTAAGTAAATTATTAGATTAGGAAAATTAAAATTTTACTTTAATTCAGCAGGTAAAAAAAATGAAATTTTACTTTTATTCAGGAGGTAATTCAGAAAAAAAAGAAAATTAAGCTGACAAAACGCTTTTTTTTCGTTTTAGCAACAAATATTTTTCTTTGCCTGATCAGTTACTTTACTCGTGCGAAAAAAAAAATCGAAGTGAAACTGTTACTAGTTTTTGAATAAATTCGAATTCAACTTTCGGAAGAACTCTTTTTTCAATGGTTATGTTGACACAAAAAATCAGCTCTTTTTCTCGAAAATGCTGTGAAGAAAAGAAGGCGGTTTGTCAGCTTACGGCACATTATCATATCTCTTGAATAAAAGTGGACATTTTTGGCTTTGAAAGAGGAGGGTCTCGCTTGGTTTCAGAATTTGCAAGAAAATGCCGCCAAAGTTTAATGATTTCCATAGCTGAAGAGTCCTTGCAGACTGGGAATTTGCATTTTTTTTTCACTAAATCAACGTTTTTCCGTTATATTCCACACATATAGTATAATATGAGCTTTTGAATCGACATAAAAGTCGTTGAGCCAAAAAATAAAATCAACAGAATTTGATACATATTGTCGAACCGTCAGAAAAATCCTGGTATCTCTGATTTCACTATTTTGACAAGCGCCTGAATTCACCGCGATGCCTCACATTTTATTTAGTTGTCTTCTATCACGACGCATAGAGAACCGACTTTTTCTTTGAAAAACTATCTTATTTCGGTTTTTCTCCTTTCTTTTTTTTCACCTATCCTTTTTTTTCTTTTGCCTCGTCTCTTTTCTTCTCTTGTCTTCTCTTTTCTTCTCTTTTCTTCTCTTGTCTTCTCTTGTCTTTTTTCCCTCTTACCTCCGTTCTTTTTTAAATTTCCTTTTCTTGTCTTAAATTCTTGATAATTTAAACATAATTTCTTACTTTCTCCCAACCCCCACTCCCCCCCCCAATCTCCCCAACGGTTG